AGATTTGTTAGCGGTTTGTTTATCCCATGAGCTTCCTTCTCACTCACTTCATTTTGCGGACGGACACACATACATACATACATACACACATACATACAAACCGACACACCAAAGTTAGCGGTTTATAAAATAGAAGGATAATTCGCCTTCTTGGCAAAGGCCAGCAGCATTGGATCAGAATGTGTAGGCAAAATGAATGGATGAATAAACAAAATAAATAACAAAGAATGGAATAGCAAAGGGTCAAGGTGAAAATTGCAGCCTCTTTCTCTGGATTTCGACAAAAGCGTCGCCTTGGATGCATGCCACACGAATCGCTACGACAATAGAAGCAACTGCATCGTCGGCATGGAGGATTACGAATACACGACGTGGGTCTCCGATTTCAAGAGCATTCTTTTTATTAATTTGTTGCTGCTTCAGAGGAACGTCGCACGAAAATACCGGGCGGGGCGGAGATAGGCTTCAAATAGCTTCGCGAGGTGCTAAATTGAATTGTTTTGAAGTAAGGAAGAGAAGCGAGAGAGAGCTCAATCCGTAGAGCTTCCCATTCCCTCCTCAGGAGCAGGGTCAGCCTCCGTTCGCCCTATTCGAACAAGGGGGTCGCAGTTGTGATTTCGGGAAGGAGGGGGGGGGCGCGTCGAAGAGGTTGAGCAAGGTTATCATAGTGGAACGGAGGTTGACGGAGGTCGTTAAAGGGGTTGTGTTTGGACGGGTTTCTTGACGAATTTGGTGAAAGTTTCACGGAAATGGTAAGAATTAAGAAATTGGTGGATTTGCCGCTTTATGATGCAATTAAACCCCTCCTTCCCTCCCCCTGTCGCCGGCTGTTTTGCAGTGGTTTGAGGGAAAACTTGGCAATGTTGCTCTGTGGCTGCGTCGACTGGCCTCAGAATCAAATACTGTAGAAACAGCCATGATGATGAGGATGGTGTTCGAAGAAGTGGGAAGGGGGTTCGTACGCCGGAGCTAGGAACCCTCTAAGACTGATGGTGGTGGGGGTCACGTCAACGCTCCCCCACTCCAATGGAGGAGTCACAAAATTTTTGAAAAAGTGCGAACATGACGGTTGACCCTGTTTCGGGAGATAGGAGAGTCTGGGAGGCAAACGGCTCAACACATTGACGACTGCGTGGGGGTTTGGCTTTTTGACCACGTGGGACATCAGCTATTGGGCGAACGCGATTTCTGAGACGCGCAACCGCGTCTCATTGCTCGACAAGGTGCGTTTTTCGAAACCCAACACTGAAAGTAGCGAAACAAAGGCACAAGTTGAGTTGGGAGGGGGAGTCAGCCGGAGAAACGGCCTGTCTGCAACCTCCAAGCGAGAGAGTTATTACATTAGCACAAAATAAAGAGTTATAAACCAAGGGGAATACAGTCAATTCAGGGAAGTGGAGAGCAGGGAAAGCGGCTCTTCCAATGAGCTACCTTTTTGTCGTTGAATCCGGCTTTAATGAAAACCTTCTTA